AAAGAACTGTTCTTTTGGCCCAAAATGAGAAAAGATGTGTCGCGTTACTGTAGAAGTTGCACGAACTGTCAGTTGGCCGGAAAGCCAAACCAGACAATTCCTAAGGCCCCTTTGAGTCCGATTCCTGTATTAGAAGAACCTTTTTCTAAAATCGTCATGGACTGTGTAGGTCCCTTGCCTAAAACCAAGGCGGGCAACGAGTACCTACTTACCTTTATGTGTTCAAGTACCCGTTTTCCCGAGGCGATTCCCTTACGGAACATTAAGGCAAAGACTGTAGTCAGAGCCATGACCCGGTTCTTCACTACCTTTGGATTACCTAGAATCGTGCAAACAGATCAAGGCAGCAACTTCACCAGTCACCATTTTCAGGAAGCGCTAGCCAAGCTAGGCGTTACCCACATCACCAGCTCAGCCTACCACCCTCAGTCTCAAGGCGTACTTGAGAGGTTCCACCAAACCCTCAAAACCATGCTAAGGACATTCGCTAACAGTAACACCCAATGGGATGAGTCTGTTCCTTGGATTATTTTCGCCGCGAGGGACTGTGTCCAGGACTCTTTAGGCTACTCGCCTTTTCAACTTGTGTTTGGACATTCTGTCCGTGGCCCCCTGAAGCTGATACATGAACGGTGGACAGGTACCAGCGATCATCCTGTGGAAAACTTCGACGATTTTCACGTTCGACTGAAAGCCGTGTGCGAAATGGCTCACAAGAACTTAAGAAAGGCCCAAGTGAGAATGAAAGGACTGTATGATAAGAGTTCTTGTAAACGAACATTCAATCCAGGCGACAAAGTTCTTGTGTTAGTGCCTAATCTGAACAATGCGTTATCCTTGAGATATTGTGGACCCTTTACTGTGCATTCAAAATTAAGTGATTTGAACTATGTTGTCAATACGCCCGACAGAAGAAAGAAACAGACCGTGTATCATGTTAACTCACTGAAAAAGTATTATGATAATTGTAACAATTTTCAATCCACAGCTAAAATTACTTTACCTGTATGTTCAAATGTTTCTGATGATGTGATACATGATAAATTGAAACCCCCAAAATTGGTAAATTCTTCCTTTTTAGATAATTTGAATGTCCACCTTATGCATTTGTCCACAGAGAAAAGCCATAGATTGTCTCAGTTATTTGAGACATTTCCCTCTATTTTTGGGGATGCCCCCAAAGAAGCGAAGGTTCCACCTCATGATGTAGACGTTGGTGACGCAAAACCCATTAAACAACATCCCTATAGAGTTAACCCGGAAAAAGCTGCTTTGATAAAAGATGAAATTGATTATATGCTCAAGAATGATATCATTGAGCCCAGTTTCAGCAACTGGAGTTCCCCATGTCTCCTAGTACCGAAAGACGGAGGATCTTTCAGGTTTGTGACCGACTTTAGGAAGGTGAATGCGCTCACCAAAGCTGATTCCTATCCCTTACCTCGGATAGAGGACGTTATTGATAAAGTTGGTCAAGCTAAGATAATTTCCAAAATTGATTTACTTTCAGGATACTGGCAAATCCCCTTATCTGACCGTGCAAAAGAAATATCTGCTTTTGTAACCCCTAATGGTTTTTATAGATACAAACGTATGCCCTTTGGTATGCGAAATGCTGGTCAAACTTTCCAGAGAGTCATTAACTCTGTCATTGCTGACATAGACCAATGTGAGGCCTACATAGATGATATAGTTGTATTTTCTAATACTTTTGAAGAACATATTGTTCAATTGACTAACCTTTTTAGAAAATTGTCTGAAGTTAATTTTACTGTAAACTTACATAAAAGTGATTTCTGTAAAGCTTCAATTACCTATTTGGGTTATCAAGTGGGAACGAACCAAGTTCGGCCCATTGAAGCTAAAGTAGATGCTATTGTAAGGTTACCACCTCCCAAAAATTGTAAAGAGATCAAAAAGTTCCTTGGGATGGCTGGTTACTATAGGCGGTTCTGTCAAAACTTTTCAGCTATTGCTGAACCTCTTACTGCATTATTGAAAAAGGGTGTTGAGTTTAAATGGTCAAATAAATGTCAAGAAGCTTTTTTAACCATTAAGTCATTTTTATCAAATGCTCCTGTTATGGCTGCACCAAATTTTAGCAAGCCCTTTAAACTTGCCATTGATGCTAGCAACTTAGCCATTGGCTCAGTCCTATTTCAAGAAGACAACATGGGAATTGACCATCCCATTGCCTTTTTTTCCAGGAAGTTAAATGAGAACCAAAAGAATTACTCTACTATTGAAAAAGAGGCTTTAGCTTTGGTTTTGTCATTACAACATTTTGAGGTCTATGTCTCTTCTTCAACCAATCCAGTCAGAGTGTTTTCTGACCATGATCCCCTGAAATTTACCTCTAAGTTAGGACAGACAAATCAAAGAATATTGAGATGGTGTTTATATTTCCAAAATTTTAATCTGGAAATTTCACACATTAAGGGTAGTGATAATGTTGTGGCTGATTGTTTGTCAAGGATGTAAAATCTTATTGTACACATTGATCATGTGTCATGTTTTGTGGTTCATTAGGACCATACACAGGTGTTGTGTTTTAACATGAAAATGAGTGGTATGATTTTTGATTTTTTCAAAATTCCAATCCTGTTGAATATTTTGTTTATTTTCAGGTGAACCTTAATTAAAGGTGGTTTTTGATTATATGTAATCTTTTATAATAATATGTCTCGTATGACTCAATTGATATTGTAGCTAGTCATTGAAATAAAGGTCTTACCCTGGCGGGTTTACCACTTTTAATATCCACATGGAAATATTGTAATACCCTTTTTTGAGGGATTTTGATGTATAATTACTTTTTGAAGGGTTACTCCCCTTTCACCAATTGTAAAAGTTGGAGTTACTTCCCTTTTATGTTCAGGGATATTTTCATCTGGTATTATGATTTTGATTGCCTACATTTGTAAAACATTTTTGTTATTTCATTGCCAGATTGGTTCCTTATGTATGTTTTTGTGGAACCTATCTGTCACTTCCAAAAAGGGAGGGGATGTGACCTACTTAGGTCGAGTCATTTTTATTTTGACATTGTATAATTCCTTATATGGAATGATGGTGTAACACCTGGGGTTTTTCCACTGACTTATTAAGGTGTTTGAGACATAGAAATTTTCCATTAAAATCTGATTGAATGATTCTGATCAGATGATTATCCCAACCAATGGCGACATGAGTTGAGGATAACCTCCCCTGTCACAGAAGTCTTTAATTGCACTGCACACTCGCAACACGAGGCAGTTTATCTTGACCTGGCAGTCTACGAGGCAGTTTTATCTTGATCAGGCAGCCGTCCATATTGTCCGGCTATAGACTCTGACCATTTGAACGTGAGAGTACTTAAGACCTGTGTGTGCCTTGCTTTCTTAAGTGATTTAGTCTTCTAGTTTAATATTACTTGTCGCTAAGTAATTCCTGAAGCTACAGCAGTGTTGTGTGGCCTGTAGCTGTTCTTTAGACAGTGTAGAAGTCTGTGATAGTGTTTTTTCCTGCATTTTGTAAGTTGGGTTTTTGATATTTTATACATTAAATATTTTATCTAGTTCATCTTTGTGTTCTGCCACAACTGCGTTCGCTGATTAAAAGGTCGTATGTAGATTGGATGAGTGTTAATTACAATAGTATCACTAGCTTCCCTAGACATTAAATTCGAGCCCTAGTGGGACGTTGTGTTAAGTGTTCATCCACTTAGGCCGTAAGGCATTTGCATATGACCCCGAAAAAAGAATCCGGGGACGTTCTCCTTCTATTTGGCTGATAGATAGGTTAACGTTACACCCCCGACAGTGTTTCTTTCCGATTTATTTTTCTCTGGGGGAGGGGTGGCGGCACTTGAAATTTGTATATATTTCTATATAAACTATATTTTGTTGGGGAGGGGGGGGGGGGGCGGTAGACGCCGAAAATATGCCTAGAAGAAACTCTGGCCCCCGAACTGATATTTGATAGTCAATGCGGCCCTCGGTTTGAAAAGTTTGGAGACCCCTGGTCTAGACGATGAAATAACACAAGTCTACAGAGTGAAATTCTGTGAAGATTTTAGCGTCCCTACTATCACCAGTCCGCGTCACCTACTGAAGACACTGCTGCCTTGGTTGTTTTGAGAGATTTGAACTCTAGCAATACAGTTACAGTTACAAGTATCCTACATTTCTGGCCATATTTTAATTATACACTATTTATAACCAATGCACGCATCAGCAAGAAGGATATTGTAATTCTATTGGGAAACCATTGAATACAAAACAGAGGTTTGAAACTGACAGATCATCTCATTTATAGGCTTATAAAGAAGTCAGCTTTTAATGGGGTATATATATTTTTACTTCCTTCGATAAGACGACTTAAGTCTTGTTGAAAAAAAGTGTTTTATTTTTGGCAAAGGTTTGATAGTCAGAGACAAGATGGTTAGGTGACAGTGGTTTAGGTTAAAGCAAGCATAACACAACCCAATGTAGCAGATATAAACTGTGTGATCCCTGTGTGGCAGATATACTATGATCCCAGTATAAAAATTGTGTGATCCCAGTGTGGCAGATATCCTAAGATCCCAGTATAAAAATTGTGTGATCCCAGTGTGGCAGATATCCTAAGATCCCAGTATAAAAATTGTGTGATCCCAGTGTGGCAGATATCCTAAGATCCCAGTATAAAAATTGTGTGATCCCAGTGTGGCAGATATCCTAAGATCCCAGTATAAAAATTGTGTGATCCCAGTGTGGCAGATATCCTAAGATCCCAGTATAAAAATTGTGTGATCCCAGTGTGGCAGATATCCTAAGATCCCAGTATAAAAATTGTGTGATCCCAGTGTGGCAGATATACTATGATCCCAGTATAAAAATTGTGTGATCCCAGTAGATATTAACTGTGATCCCAGTATAGCAGACAGTTTCTTTTATGTTAAAATTTTGATATGTATTAAATTGATGAGTACAAGTCAACATTTGGTATATATATAACACACAAAGTAAAGAAGAAATGCCTAACATTCAACTATTTTTTATTCATGTACAGCTAATTTACATGTCTGGCCAAATCTCCCCACCTCACGCTAAAGCCAGTTGTTTCCCCTTGGAGGTGGAGGGTGTATCCTCCTCGTACTCTATCAACACCTTGGGTCTGTTCTTGCGTGCTGGTGCCTTTTTCTTGCCTTTCTTTTTCTCATCTGTTTCATCCTCTGCTGAGCTGTCCTCATCAGATGAATTTTCATTGCCGTTCATATCCTTCAAAATTAATTCAATAAACATTCACCAAAATTGTTGATAGATGACAAATTAAATCAGTCTTGGATTTGCTGATATTTTCTACAGACATAATTAGACCAATCAATATACACACCTCATTAATCCAATCAATCTACATACATTAATTGACTAATCAACCTAGACACAATCATGCCTGCCACATAATAAAACCAATCAACCAAGACACAATCATGCCTGCCACATATTAAGACCAATTAATCTAGACACCACCAAAGTAAGACCAAATAATCTAGACACCACCAAAGTAAGACCAATTAATCTAGACACCACCTAAGTAAGACTAATCTACTACAGCTATTTTTAGAGACAAAAAAGTGAAGAACCATTTCAAAACTCACCTCCATATCCGAAACATCACTTTCATCAAAATCTTCAACGTACTCAACGTCTCCAACACCCTATTAAAAATAAAATCACATTTTTTAAATTATCTTAAAATTATTTGATTAGATAAATTCTTTAAGGAAAAGTCTTGTATTAAAAAATGGTACATTAACTCCTTATTTATGTGACCTCAAAGTTCACAACAATTAGGGTACCTGTATATTTATCTGACACTGATGTTGATTACAAATAATGTACCTCTAGATCTATCAGATGTTAATGCTGATAACAATGTACCTCTTCATCTTCTTCCTCAAGCTCCAGCTCCTCTTCATCGTACTCTCCTCCCTCTGCCTCCTCCTCCAACTCCTCTTCATCGCTGGAGATTTCTTCTTCTTCTGTCACTTTATCAAATGCTTTTTGAGGGAAGTTGTAGATGTCGCCATACTGAAATTTGAAAAGAATACTAAGTTTTTAAACAAATATTTTGTAGGACCATCAGATAAAGTAAACTATGGGTTACTGTTCCTTCTTTAGTCAGTGAATAACATGACAGAAAGTAAAGTATGACTTACTGTTCCTTCTTTCAGCCTCTGCAACAAGTTCTTCTCTAATACAGTGTCCAGCTGTGCAGCTATCAAAGCTTTTTCCTGAGGTTAAGAAAAATTCATGTCAGCAATACTCAAGAACTTCATAAGAATAAAGTAAAATAAATTATAGTTGGAATTCAGCTTATGCGATCACAAAAAACAAGCATTTCCCTATAAACAACATAGAGCACTTGTGCACAAGATTATAACTGTTTCACTTGTCAGCAAAAATTTATTTAATAAATTTGTTTTAACTTACAGCTCTTCTTGACTCCCTCCTTTCTACTTTTCTGCTTAAAGGAACTAATTGTTTCCTAAAAAGAAAATTACAAAATATGATTAAAAGTCAACTCAATTTAGTCACGCAAGCAAAAGATTTTTTTATGTAGGGGTGAGAATTTTATCAAAAATATATAATTTAATTATCAAAAAGTTGCCTCCCAGCAATTTATACATTCTGAACTGAAACTTGTACAAAAATCATGCATGAAGGTACAACTTACTGTCGTTTTAATGTGAGTTTACGAATTCGTATAAGATACTGGGTTATTTTGGTTAACCTCTGTTTGCATTTGTGCTTCATATACCTGCAAGGGACAAAACGTTTATAAATTATATGTATTGAAGTAACAAGATAAAACTTATTTGGCCTCTGGTTACAGTCACAGTGTTTGTAGTCATAAGGTGCACTACCAATGTGAGCAGTAACAAAACAGATAACATAATTGTGGGACAGCATGACCGAGTCATAAAGTGCATGGTTGTCAGTCTGAAGGCACTAGTTCAGATCCCAGATAATCTGACTCCACCCAACTCTGATGATTACCTGACTCACATCACGGAAATAAAAATTGGCAGGAAAATAGAACAAGCCACACTATCCCCTGATATACTGTGGTCTCAGAAATAGGTAAGCTCTAGGTCACTAGGTATCAAAGGGAAAATACACCACAGACCAAGCTAACTGTTAAAACATTTTGGATAATAATTTTAAAAACATGGGTGTAGTGTTCACTCACTTTGGCCAATATATTAAATGCTCATCAATTTGTTTCAATGCCTTTGCATAACTTCTTGATAACTTTATTTTCTCCCACAGACGGCGAGGAAAAGCAGCTCTTTCTATAGTTTTCATGTACAAATAACACACACCTGTGCAAGAGAGGCAAATGTTGCTGTTTATTATTGGCTATTGAAGCTGTATTCACAGAAATGATAAAAGTGTGTTTTACAACTAATAAACTAAACATCTCACCATTGTGAAATGGCAAATTGTGTTTTACAATTAATCAAACAAAAAATCTTACCATTTTCTTCCCTGACTGTTGCATACTGGCTGTTTGCCAATGGACATGTTGAACGATTGCACAAACCTGTCAAGCTGTATTCATTCCTACAGAATTTCTGGCTTTTTGTTCTAAACATAAAAAAAAAACTAATTACAATTATATGACTAGGTAGACCTATAGCAACATTTATTTCTATACTCCTTCCATAACAATAGTGTGGTAATAGTTTTTACTGCATAACCATCAAAATGTGTTACAAGCAGTATCCCACCTCTATCATAATCATAAAGGGAACTATGGGAGTGAGTAAAGCAATCTTTTTAAATTTCCATTACATAAAATAAAATGATTGCCTACCTTACTTTAAATGAGCAAAAAGACTTATTGATTATGCTCCATATAACCTGAAATAGAAAAATGAGGTTAATAAAAAAAGAGGTGCTACACATTATTATAGGTGGCCTATACATACTGAAAACTATTAATTATAAATGTGTTTATTATGTAAACATTAGGCTGACTATTGGAGCCACCATTACCATGTCACTGGTCATTTTAGTTTGGTCTGAGATCTCATGATTGCAGAAATTACAATTTCAATAGGGGCTAACTAATAAAATACACGAACTTTATATGAAGTAAAGAGAGGAAGGGGCTCTATGTGTACAACAAGGTGTTAAATTGAAAGATCTAAAATTCTAAATTATTATATATATTATAAAAATAAAAAATTTAAATAGGCCTATTCTTTAACAAAGAAAAAAAAAAGGCTATGAAATTGTTTATAAATTATAAATATAGGCTTCTGCGATCTATTGTTTTAGGTACATAGTACATAAAATCGTCAGAGTCTAGTAATGTGAAAGAAAGGCGACTTGTTAAATTTTGGTAATAATTTCACATTTTTAGGAGAATTTGTGTTTTAAAAGTTACAAAAATGTTTCATGTACCTGTTTTTAAACCATTTAAATAAAACTTTTCAGTATTAAATAAAGATTAACAATGCTTTCATCTGATGCAACCAAGCTCGTTTACTTTAGCAGCCATCTTGTTTGAGTTATTTTTGTTAAAGATTCAGGGGAAACCACTCTCATTTACAAAAGGCCGCTGTTTGCTCTCAAACACTGCAGTTTAAAGTTAATATCTGGCCTATATTCATGTCGATATATTTAGACATTGCTTTTGGTTTATTAATTTAAATTATTAGTCTATTCATTAGGCCCCAATCTATAATATATTCGATACATAGGCCCTATATCACAATATACTTGTATTAAAGCCATGGCATATATTAATGTCACCTTTCCTTCACATTTCAAGCCTCAGACGATTTTTTTATCGCTTATCGTTTTTCATCGCTTATAGTAGAGTGATCGCTTGCATTATTGTGATGTATAGCATTTATTTTCTACTTTTTAGTTCAATCAGAAAACGTGGGTTTTTTAAAACTTTTTTAATGATAGGCCTAATTAAAAATTAGTCGTGTTTTTAAATATTACTTTTTAAGTTTTTATTCATTTGTGAAAACAACAATACAATACAAATAAATAAATCGTGTTTTCTTAATGTTTTGTGTGTTTCGGTTATTATTATAATAAAATACGCTCAACTGGAGGTAAATGACAAGTGGAGAATAAAATACGCTAAAATGGAGTTTTACCCGAATCGAGTGTCAGTGTAGATCTAGAATCTAGATCTAGTGTAAAAAATAGTTAATAGTAAGTAAAATTATAAAAATTATTAAAAATGATCCCAAAAATTTAGTAGGCCCTATTTTTACTATTTTATCAGTACAACACAAAGGCCTAGATCTAAATCTAGATTTATATTTAGATCTAGTAGGACTATTTTATTTAAAAACTTTAATTACTCACATCATCGCTTTGCATTTTTAAATCTTTATAGAGCAGCCTATTTGTTTTGTTTTTTTTAGCTTAGAGATGAGTCGCACACGCTAGGCTAAATAAAACCCATACGTTTACACTTAACAGGAAGTTGAAATATTATTCTGTTTTCTCCCTTTTAGGCCTAAGCTAAATTAAAGAATTTTAAACTGCTTGAGCTACTTTCAACTTTAAAAAGTGTCGACAATAGTAACCAAATTCAAAAATATTTGTGTACATACGCCCTCGTTGAATATTCGGATATTCCTTTCTTAATCTAGATATCTAGATTTTTTTCTTGTGCCAAGACAGAAAAAGCCAGCTAAAACTTTCTTAGCATTTCTAGATTCTAGTAAAAAAGCGTTAACGTTACTTACTAGACTAGTTACTAGACTGGTAAAACTCAATTTTGCGTATTTTTAATTTTAATTTTTATTCCCCGCTTCACGTTCACCTCCACCTCCAGTTGAGCGTATTTTATTATAAACACAACCGAAACACACAAAAACGTTAGGAAAACACTAGATCTAGATCTAGAATCTACTTATATTTTTACGAATGTGATTTTTTATTAGAAAAGGTAAAAAAAACAACATAAAAAGTAAAAAGCATAGTTTAGATTAGAACTGTTCCAATTAAATATCGTGTGATCGTCAGCGGGAGAAAAATCCTTACACGGTCGCGAGATTACCGTGAGTTCACATTGACTTTAATTTTATTAATTATTAATTAACAGCATACGTCATAGCTCAGGCAATAGCTGTTTGAAATTGTGTTAGCCTCAGTTTTGGGGTCATTCACATTGTAAGACTAAGTTCATAAATGTTTATTTAATATTTATAGGTAATAGTATCATGCCTGGGAGATACTTGTAACAATACAAACTTAACCGCCTTGCAATTGTGAGTTACGTTTTCGTACTTCACCCATTGCCATGAAAATTCTGACACGAACATAGCACATTCAATATTCTAAATTTGGAATTTTCTCAAGTTTTGACAAAAGTAAATTATCAAAATCTAAAACAAAGTCAGTCTCTTTGTTTTTTTTATTCATTTTTATTCATCTGTTAAAACAAAAATACAATAAAAATAAATAAATCATGTTTTCCTAATGTTTTGGTGTGTTTTGGTTATTATAATAAAATACGCTCAACTGGAGGTAAACAATAAGCGGAGAATAAAATACGCAAAAAATGGAGTTTTACCTACTAGACTAGTAGATCTATTAGATCCGTTTAATTTATTTACAAATGTACAGAACGTACAGTGTACAGCCGTACAGCACGTATTCCGTATTTTTATTTCAGTATTCCTCCTTTTCCCCTGCATGAGCATGCTCAACAACTTTCAACAAGACACCATGGGGCAACTGATTTCATCTTTTTCGGAGACCTCTGTATAGTGTATATGAAGGGATTGTGTGTTCAGCACTATGCCCAGCTGCCTTTGTTTTCCCTAACGTGAGTTAGGTACCCATCAGAGCTGCGTGGACTCAGGGACGTTCTACTGATTGAACCCAGATTCAAACTCGAGACTGTCGGGTTAGCAGTCTAGCTCTCTACTCTACTGCTCTAAAATTGACCAATTGAGCATATCATAATTTGAGTTAACCCTTATGCCTTACATGATCAGAATACCTTAACCTTGCAATGTCAGTCAATGTGCATTAAAAAGTAAAAAGTATCTAAAAACACAATCATTAGGCTTAGCTTGTGGAGGTTGAAAAGCATGTTCCTGTTTTATAGTAATTATAGTAGTGCCAAAAAATAAATTATGAATATAGAGATGTATTTTTTATAATTTTACTAACCTATTTTCTAAAAAAATCTAAGCAATGGTTTTATTTATTCTCTAATGGACAGGTAAACTTATCATAAATGAAATTGAGGGCCTTTTCTAGCCTTAACAATGATTTTACAACACCAGACAGACACTTGAGGAATGTTCAGCTGAAAGGAGTAAACTGTGACACATACACACAGCAGCCACTAGCAGAAGTTTTGACTAAGGAAATTAAAGACAGTGGTCAATGGAAAGTTGGCTCATTTAAAACCTTCTCTGATACCCCTATTGAAAATAAGAAACATCATCAACTGACAGGAGAATTAAATGAACAGGACAATCTTCAAAGCAAAATTAGTCCTGGTTTAGCTAGACTTAGAATGACTCCAGGTTCAATTTTTTTCTAAACACAATATTTTAATTACATTTTTTTAACGTACACAGGATAAGTTGCTTGTCTAAAACTTATTTTCTGAATGTTTGTATATTAGATTAAAATTATTTCTAAAATTCTCATTTCCCTAAACTCTTAGACGTCAATTTAATTCTGAATATTTAAATATGATTTAAGGCATAATGAGGGAAAAGCAACGTCACTTAATTGATCAACATAAGGAAATTCAGCTAAAAGGCAGTCATCTCAATACTGGAGGTGGGATCTCATTATGGCCTGACATGATTCAAATGAGGCTGACTAGATCAGAAATTTTGTGGCTCCTAGCAGAAGCAGTGACTTTATGCTGTCTAACTGTTGTGCTGCTATACATGCTACATGGTCAGCCTTTATTTCTCTGTTCAGGTTAACTTCTGTATAAACTGTTAGCCATCCATTAATGTTCACATTTACACATCTGATAAACTCAACATTTCTCACACACAAACTTGCACCTGCATGCTCAAAACTGGAATATAATTAATAATTTTCTGTTGTACAAATGTCTACTTATAATATACTACCATCTAACAATAGTAACAAGCTACTTCAAGACCAGTAGAGAGTGCTCATACATTATGTTTATAATTATAAATGTTTCATTATATTCTGATTATTGTTTTATTTTATTCTCCTAATGCTGTCAACTTTTGACAGGCGTGACCTTTGAAAAGCTTGAGAAATTTGCAGTCCAAGTTGAAGAATTCTGTGTTCCTTTTAGTTTTGTAGAGACAACTAACCAAAAACAGTTTCAAAAACAACTTGTAGCTTGGCACAAAAAAATCCTGCACTTAACAGTAAGTTATTACATTTATAGCAATATTAAACATACAGTGTAGCTTCAAAGCCTGCTCTAAACAAGGGCACAGACAATGAGTTACCCTTAAGACAGAACTGGGTTTGAGGACACCACTCTAAACAGTACTTATTCACCAGCAAACACAGACAGTAGGTGTGTGATTAATGTAAACACTTCAGAATCTCATAACATTCAGACCCAAGACACATTGGGCAGATAAAGGAGAGTTTCATTGTGGACAGAACTATGCCTGTCACCTTTGTTACCCTAATGTGAGTCAGGCACCCATCAGAGCTTGATGGACTCAATGACATCCTACAGACTTGAGCCTGGGATGCAAATTCAAGACTTTTGGCTTAGCAGTTTAGTGCTCAACCACTCAGTCACACCATAAGTGACCAGAACACTTAGCCTAACAAAAATGAAGTATGGCTTTAGACTATACTGTTTTGTCTTTATTGCAGCATTTTATCTGTACCTTTGTTTCACTAAGTTCTCAAACTTTCATTTTCAGTATTCATTTCCATTAATTAATTTGCCAGTATAAAATATGAATCAGATAAAATTAACTTAAAATTGAAAATCAGGATGAGCTACTAGTATTTACTGTTTAACCTTAAATTTTGTCTTTTTATTTTTTTGTACTAAAGGGCAATATTCAAAATCATTTTGATATGTCATCTATGTCAAGCAGCTATCAAGTGTACATTACAACATATATTATGGGACTCCTCATCCTGCTTTATTATCTAATGGATAATATGCTGGCTAAGAATAAGCTAACTCCTTCTCGGATAAAAAAGTGGTAAGGAATTTGTAAATTAGGTATTGGGATTTTTACATTCATAATGTGACCATTGAGTATGAAATTGCCAGGACACTTTATTTACTTGTTCAATTTTGCTCTCTGGGAAGTGTAGGGCCCAAATGACACATCACAGACTAACATTAAAACCCAATAAAACACAATTTGTGACTACTTTGAATTTATTTATTTTGCATTTCAATTTACATTCAAGAAAATCTATTGTTGTAGTTTGTAGGAAAAAGCTTGTTAAGTACAAAAAGTGATATTTTGAAAAAAAAATGTTTTCAAATCTCACAGGACTTGTCTTCTTGTTGTAATTGGTAGTTGGACATCCATGATGGCCTATGGGCTGTTTCTTGCCTACATGTTGGAGAGGCAGATAACAACTTGCATACAACAATTTTCTGCCACACTGGTTAGTTACACTAAAGGTGCTACACCTTTGGGGTTCTTACGTAAGAATTAGGCCTAACAGTTGTAAAAAAAAAAATGAAACTTTCATTTTGAAATCTTTTTTTTTAACTTGAACACTCAAACCGTAACTAAGTAAATTATTATTTTTATAGCAATGCAGCATAATTTTTACTAAAAACTGATAAATCCATTTAGAGGAAAAATTTTAATTAATCATGTGCATAAAAAAAATTAAATATTCTACTGATAATATGGTGTGTCAATTTAGAGTGACTTGTACTTTCATCAACATGTTATCAGTAATACCCATCACAATCATATTTAATTATTTTTGTCCAGATAAGTATTAAATGTATGTGTAGAGAATATATGAAAAATCAAGTTTTATGATAATCACCAAATTAAGCAACCGAAGAATGTACATTAGAAAGACATAGAAATAAGGCTTTATAGATCTGTATTTTCCTCTTGATCATCTTTAAGAGTTGTCCAATAAATGGCAACAGCAATTTTGACAATTTTACAGTCACACCCCCTTTTTAAATTGATGGTAATGGAGGAGAAATTTTTTTTTTAAATTAAATAAAAAGCACCTGTGAACTCAATGCCCTAAAAATGCTGTCATTTATTGATTCAATTGAATTATAAATAATTATACCATTAAAAACCTTGATTACATTCTTTTTAATTAAAAAACTTATAATCTCTGAAATAGAGCTATATAAAGTTAAAAATTGTCTTGTTATATGGTTGAATATACTTGTAATGTATCCCTAGTCCAAGTACAGCATAGCATGTATCTTTCAGGCAACCCTAGTGGCAGCTCCATTAGAACTGGGACACTTCCAAGCTGTGCTACTGTACTGGCGCTCAAGGTTCCTGGATAATGCATCGCAAGGACTGCTCAGTGTTTTTGGACTGATATCAGTTCGAGACCTGCTTTACTACCTTCAGTATTATAGTGTACCAATTGCAACTGTCCTTTTGAGTCCAGTATTTCAGTTAATTTGTGCATGTTTTACTATATACAGTCAAGGAGAATATATGAAACCAGTATCCTGACAAAAAGAGCTGGATTTCTAATCAGTAGTTTATATTATTGTTAGACACTAAATAAAGCCTATATAGAATTAGTTTAGTTGGCTTGTTTTTTTAACCCACAACAACTAATTTTTTCCATGTATAAAAAAATTGCTAGTAGTTCGTAACTTACACTTTAGTGCCAGAATTATATTTATTAACTTGCTAATTAACTTTGAAAGGTGAAGATGACTGGGTATAGTGTTGACCATACCATCACTTCATTTGCTGAGGCCACATAAACAGGTGCACTCTACTTCAGCCCTATCAGGTCCAAAAGGGAATGTTACTTTACTTAAACTTAAACAAGAAATTAAAAGTTGAAGCAGCTTTTCACAAATTTTTACACTTTTTTTGTGTGAATATTAGTGATTTTAAATTTAAAGCAGTCATATTACTCTGCTCAAACTAGTAGTAGTAAGACACCTCTTGAGAGCTATGAGGTCTCCAAACTATGGCAAGATGCTGCCCATGAGGTCCTCTCATCTGGCCTGTGGAGATCTTTTGTCCACAAAAATAAGTTTGTTGGAGGTGGCTGAGGGACTTTGTCCAGAAAATTCAAAACATTTTCAAAATGTAGCTTTGGGTGCAATGACATGTTGCTGACATGGGTGGAAACTAACTCAAATAGAGAAAAATGCAAGTTCTCCATTTTTGAATAGGAATGTATGAATCGTTGGACGGCTGTTCCACCTCTCAACTTCTTGTGATTATTAGGTGTGAATGAAGACATGAACATAACACAAGAGCTGGCTTCCCTACATAACATGTATGGTACTGTTTTGACAAGCAAAAGCAGATGTGTAATGAGAAAAACATTCTCTACAATCAATGTTCCTGCACTGTATTATTCACCCACAAGATTTGTGTGCTTAATATGTGGACACTGGCAGTGTACTGAATCCTGTGGTGAGAATGGTGACTTTAGGTCACATGGGCTCAACCATACTGAGTTCAGAGACGTTGAAAGATGCAGACACAGAATTGCAAAACATATGGTACTATATACTAACAGTAAGATGGCTAAGTTATGAGAAAGTTCTGAGCAGATTAATTAATAACGGAAATATGACTTCCTGGAAAGTAAAGGCAAGCTGCAGCCATTGTCTGATAAAGAGTGGGTATAGAAATGGGCTGTTGCTGCAGTCATGTCATTTTAATTTTCATAACCTAAAGCTAAGTTGTATTAAGGCAAGGAGAGGAATATACATCCACTTAAAGGCCTTCAGATCCAAACTTTTCTTGTCTTTGGAATAAGTACAGGCTGACAACTTAGGCACGTAAGGTATTCATGAGAAGTTCATGGCTCAAGCAACAGTTCTATGTCCTCACATCATTTGCATGCAAGATCAAAGACATTCTGATTCAGCATCAGTTTTCTGAATTGGATTGAAAGGCAGAAGAAATGAGACTTCCAAAACTCATTTGAATTTGAAGCAGATGTGGCCAGTAGCATGGAGGACATTCAGTTTCAAGCAAATGACCTCCTTAGGGAAGTTTTTCAAAGAAGGATTTGAGGGTTTTTACAAGTATTTGCTCAAGGAAGACTTTCCTAATGAGAAATATTGCTATGAACAAGGTCAGGAAGCAGATCTGAAAAGGGAACTTTATACTGCAGATGACCTCTAACCCTTAATCCAGCAGTATACTCAGTCACAACAAACTTGGATAAAAACCACAAAAACAAATTAAGTGCTTTACAAAATTTATTTAGATTTCCTTCATTTCTCTAAGACGACGAATAGCACTGCGTACTTGAGCTGCAGCTGTAGTTCTGTGAAATATAGTATAAGGTAAATGTATACCCTAACAGAAAACCACCTATTAACCTCTTACTCTAATCAAATAAACCCAAATGTGACAAAGATACTTACGAATAAACCCAAGCACCCCCTGCAACTGTTTTAGAGCATCTGCTGCACTTCCAAATGCCAACTGCTTTTCTCTTCATGGATTCCTGTGGGGGGAAAGCAAGAAAATTATACTTTCACCTAACAGCATGGATGTGTGTGGAAAAGTATAGCTTCGATTGCTATATCCAAGAATAATTAAAGATTAGACAACCAATGTTTCAGAACACAGAATCTAATCTGTAGATAATTGGTCTTAACATTTTTTCTGAACCCAATAGCAGATCTAGTATATTAATCTTAGAACTTAAGAACAGTAGGATAATTATTGAATATAAAATGGCTGACATATTACTAAGAGAAGTTTATGACTAGTTACCTTTCCACAAAAGGGACATGTGTATGTGCTGTGCTGAGTTATCTCCATTTTCTTGACAGTTTTTCTGAGAGAGGCACCATACCTGGTTCCATACTTTCCAACAATGCCAACCTTCTTGGTTCTCTTTGCCTATGAATTATATATTTTTTAAATATAAAAATGGATAGTGGTGGTACAATAATTGTCTTGTATTCTGCGTGTTGTTGACACTGGCTTACAAGTTTAGGATACTGATATTTAATATTAGGGACTTCCATTAAAAAAAAAATCATCATATGAAAATATAAGTTACATATTCTTGTACAGCTCTCTTATATGAAAAACAAAAACCACAAAAACTTCCTAGCACAAATAGTTTTTAGTAATTATTTTGTTGGGGGGAGGGGGTCTTTTTTTGCATCAGCCATTTGAGATGAGTAATGGTATATCTGTATAAGTGAGCAAATTCATTTTGTTAGCTGTAGTATTTTGTACATATTTGCAGAGTTTAGCTAAAATGATATATAGATCTTGTATATATTGTTGAACTGAATATATTTGTTGTCTTTCTCCCCTCCCCTGCCACCAAAAGATTGCAACGCAAATATAACAATGAGCCGACCCACTGTGTAGCATACACCACTATTTAGTTATTTTTCTGCTTAGCTATTTGACACTACCCCCCTCCCCCTGTGAAAGCAGCTGCCCATGACGACAATGAAGATCAAGCAGAATGTGTTACCTACCTTAGTTTCAAATCATTTAAATACTAAATTATCTGCCCCTAATAGCCGTCACTAATTTGACCCGGCTCTACAATAGGGCTGGTAAGTAGGTCACCAACCAGTTCTATGGCTCATGCAGGTTTTATTGAACCGTAGAACTGGTTGGTGACCTACTTACCAGCCTTGTTAACATTCATCATGAACCAAAGCTCACCAGACTGGTGGGGGAGGTGTGGTAGCGATATGCATGGAGAGCAAGGCGTGTGTAGGTGGTGGTGGTGTCCCACATGGTCTCCAAATAGAGAATTATATATATAGATGTCAGAACATTGTTATTTATGTTATTTTCAACATGTCACTACAAATTAAGGCAAGTAGAACTTAGACTTTGTTGAAGTAACAACTTGATATTGTGAGTCTTAAATCTTGAGTACGGGTTACAAGGCACTCGTCCTCTGTATGTTTTAGGCACATTTTAAAGTAAACCTTACAGTTACAGACAACACATAGCTAGTGGGCTTATGAATTTGCAATTGAATAGGCTAAGGCATTTTCTAATGAAGAAATCTTATAATGTATAAAGTAACCTAAAAAAACAGCCTATTGAAGTATGAATCAAAGTTACAAAGTTGTAAAGCTTCATTACATGATATTCAATAAGCAAACAGTAGGGCTGGACAACCGAATAAGCTTGGCCTACACAAGTGACAAATTTCTAGAGCACATAGCTAAAGCTTCTAGCAACTAACCCAAAAAAAACATGAGGCCTATTAAAAATAAATTTTAAATCAAGTAGGGCCTAATGTAGTTTAAAATGAGCTTAAACCCTCAAAATTAGTGTCTAATGGATTAAATATGGATGTTTATTATTTAGTGGTCTTGTTTAAATTGAAAATCGAGCAAGTTTTAGATTTAGCGAGAATAACAATTAGCCTTTCATGAATTAATAACTTTTAAATCGGCCAAATCTAATCTCGTAAGATATCAGAAAGCAATGGGAGTTTTTGGGTCATGTTTTTACAGCAAACTCAGCGGATACCAACAACCCTACTGATATGCCCATTGCCACACCTCTTAGGACAGTCTAGGTTCATGTTAAGTGTTTATTGGAATTAGTCTAGATCCTTGGTTTCGCTAAACATTGTAGCAGTCAGACAATGGTAGCATGCAAGTATTGGGGGCATCTTCTATTTAAAATTCACCATCCAGCTTACGAAGTGGAAGGGGTTGTTTAAGTTCCACAATGAAGAAACTAGATCTAGGTCTATAAACCTCCATTATTAATAAAATACGCTCAACCGGAGGTGAATGAGAAGAGAATCTAGGCCTAGATCCATTTATTTTTCATTTCAATTTTAATTTTATTTCTAACAAAATTAGATCCTAGATAACTAGATCTAGAATATCTACTTAGTCTAAGGTCTATTCTAGTGAGATCAGGGTAAAACTCAATTTTTAGCGCATCTTATTCGCCGCTTCATATTCACCTCCGGTTTTGCGTATTTTATTATAAACACAACCGAAACACACAAAATGTTAGGAAAACACTAGGATTAGATCTAGAGGAGTTTACACTTTTCGGACACACACCAAAAATTACGTAGGAGCGAACACTTCGTCGGTTTTTGGCTCATAGAAACTTTAATTAGCATGTCTCACGCGAAACCACGGCGCCTGCACGTAAACTGTTCATTTATGAACACTTCCGTGTCAAGTACTTCCGTTTCCTTTCTCAAGAATTATTTTTAGAAATTTTTTAACGTTGCATGGTACGCACATTTCTATTTTTACACCAGCCGGATGAAGTGACCTAGGGTTGGACTTAGGGGCAAAACTTGAACCAATCAATGCTTAGCTAAAAGGTTACATTATAAATAGCTTCTATATATGTATGGAACATCGTAAATGTCAAGGTTAATGGGTTTATTTGTGCTTGAACAATAAAAAAGGGGTGTTCGCTAACTTATTTGGCCTTACATGGGAGCGGACAGCAACACAAAAATATTACTAAATAAGAATTTAGAGCATAAAAGGGGCTGGTTATTGAAGGGAAAGGGTCAAAATAAGGTCAAGAAGGCAGTGGAATGCGAAAGAGGAGGGGGAATCATGTGACCTGGCTGGCTTAGCAGCGTACTGCGCGAGCCGCAATGGCTGAATGGGATGAACTTTGGGAGTGTGGGAAAAAGGTTTTATACTATTAAAATTACCTCACAAACAATCAATAACACAATATACATGCATATAATATATGTTTTTATTCATTAAATTGACTTTAAATTATTCTAAATGAACAAAAAGTGCTATGTCCGATGACGGGTAAAGGTGTCCGAACACATGTAAAACTGTATTACATGTGTTCGAACACACGTTAAGACCCCCCCCAGTCACTATAACAAGAATAGCTTAAGTTCTATGCGTATGAATACAAAATGACACACACATTATTAAAGTAGAATGGTTGCGGATAGATATGATACTTTTTTTTGTTTTCTATGTTAAGTGGTTACTGAATGAGACCGCATGGAATTTTTACGTTGCGTTTTTTCGCTATGTGTGTCCGAAAAGTGTAAGCTCCTCTAGATACATTTATTTTTTAAATGAATGTGAGTTTTAATTAGAAAAGATAAAGTAACATAAAAAAGCATTAGGACAGTTCCAATTAAACTGTGATCAGCTGGAGAAAAATCCCTACACTGTCGACTGTTCACCGTGAGTTCACATTGACTTTAATTATTAGCAGATGTCATAGCTTGGGCAATATTCTCAGTTTTGGGGTCATCATGAGTTCATAAAAGTTAATTTAAAATTATAGCATTATATTCCACATTTGGATTCAAGTTTTGACAAAGTAAATTATCAAAACTAAATCAGAACTTCATAAAGAAATGTGCCAAATGTTTCCCTAACGTTTTTGTGTATTTCGGTTGTGTTTATAATTAAATTACGCTCAACTTGAGATGAACGTGAAGCGGGGAATAAAATACGCTAAAATGGAGTTTTACCTGAGATCAGAGTGAAAGAACCATTGTTTACTAGATCTAGATTAAGGCCTGTTAATTAGGGGCTAAAGTCAGTCAAAGATAGAACAAGTTTTAAAAAAATAAGCAAATTGGAAAGCATAACAAATAGATATGGAAAGTAATAAATCTTGAAGAATGGGGTACAACTAAAATTGTTTTTAAAACTACTGGAAATAGCTATATATATAAAATCATAAATACACCAAAAAATTAAAATAGATAGGGAGATTACAGTAGATTTATTTCAGAAATGTAGACGAACGTACCATTGTTGAATCGGGCTATTTTAAGAAAGGAAGTCAATCGGACGGATGTTGACTTATAACGACTTCAAATGCAAAAGATCTCTTGTTTATATGTCGGACTTCCGCAAAGCGTGAGTCTGCTAGTCCTAGGCATATTTTATTATTTTTAATATTTTAATTTAGGCCTAACTTGAGTCTAGGCTAACTAGACATAGGCTTATAACCACGTCTACTAGCTTCATAACCCTCTAGATCTAACTGAACTTTTAATTTTAAGAACTTGATGATGTCACTTGATGAAGTACTTGAAGTAGTAGACCTATCTAGTAACAAAGTTCAAGTTGTGGACAATCACTCACACTTCCTTCACACATTCAATTCACAATCACATGTCTCACATGACACAATCAATTACAATTTGACTTGTGAATCAATGAGTTCAATAACTCTTCAATCCTGAAAATAGTCAATAATATCAATACTATACTATAGCGCGATGAATGAGACTTAAGATAATAAATAGCCTATTATACTATAATTATAGACCTAGATTCTACTTACTAATTAGTAATTACTTTGGTAACTTTAGTACTTACTCTTACTTCCTTCCCCTTTTGCACCATAAAAATAAAATTAAAAAGGTTGCAAGATAAAGATATGCGGTAATCTATCGTTTTGGGTACGTAAAATCGCCCGCGGCTATTTATGTACGAAAACGTTACCTCGTTGTCAAGGCTTTAATACAAGTATATTGTCATACTTTTGTGTCAAATATTATAGATAAATGAATAATAAACCTAAATCAATGGCTAAATATATCGATATAGGCCAGAAATTAACTTTAAACAGCAGTGTTTGAGAGCAAGATTTGCTATATAAACAGCAGCCATTTGTAAAATAGAGTGGCTTCCCCCTGAATCTGGCGCTAAAAGCTTATAAAAATAAAACTTAGACAAGATGGCTGCTATAGTAAATGAGCATGGTTGCATCTGTTGGAAACATCGCTAGTCTTCATTTATTACGGAAAAGTTTTAATTCAATTGTTTAAAAACAGGTACATAAATGAATCAAGGAAACATTTTTGAATTTTTAAAAACATAAATCCTCCTCAAAATGTGAAATAATTATTAAAATTTAAGGAGTCACCTGTTTTTCACATTACAAATCGCGGGCGATTTTACGTACCCAAAACGATAGATTACCAGATATGCATCTACCAGCTGATTTTACTTACAAACTAATAGTAGCGTGTATTTCGAAAATTGAAAATTCGTTAGTTTCGGGAGGAAAAGATACCGATCGACGCGTAATTTTTTACTGAAACTACTTTTTATACTCTGTGTGTGTCTAGGAAAAGTTTATTTAGCCTATTTCGAATTTAAAATTTTTGTGTTTATAAAAAATTTGGATTAACCTGCCACCATTATTTTTCCTCTTACATTAAAAAAAAAGTGTCTCCGATATTGGTAGTACACAACTTGATGACGTCATACGCGTCAAATTATATTTTCGGACTTTTCGTCATTTTACTATAAATTGTTAATGTAGTATTTTATTATGAGTTTGACTAATCAAAATTTTATTTACTATACACAACTAGGCCTATTAATAATTGAATAAATTATTAGGCATAGGCCTACTGAAAACTTGAATTACAACCACCATGTAGGCCTAGTAGTAGCAAAATATTTTTTTTTTCTATTATTAGGTTTTAACATTTGTGTAGGGCGTAGGGCCCTACATGACCAACAATTTCATACCAATACCATTGTCTAAAATAGTGAAAATGTTATAATATAGTTTATATAGACCCTCTACAAAGGTGTTCAGCTGCTTCTTATAGTAAGGCCTAGGGCCTATAGATTATCAATATTAACCTTGCTTGAACACATTATAGTAAGTTATAAAAATTCATCTGTTAAGCTAGTGATACTAATTAATGGAACCATTATCTCTCACTATGATTATTTATTCATTCTAAATATTTAATATGTAATTTGGTGTCTAATAAATATATATTTATTTATTAATGGACTGCTTACTGCCAATAATTGTTGTTGCACTGTGAATTGCGCAAGTCTAGAGAAAAAACTTCAGCATAAGCTTATTTTATCAGAACATGTATATGAAGGCTTACTCATTGGAGATTGTTTTTTTTCTAGACATGTATAGTATTCATGTGGTAAGTGCAAACATGGTGTTACTCACAGACCCACCAGTATAATTTCTTATACAAGACCTGGTTTCAAATTCAAACAAAAGATAAAAAGAATCAAAATGGTTTGCTTTCCAAAAAATATTTATTTATTAGATTTAGATGCAATTATATAAATTTCAATTATCAATGAAAAGTACAAAAGTAATAATGGGTTTAAGTTTAAGGTGTGAGTACAACAAAGTGATTTATATAACAAGTTTTAGTTGATGCAAATAAAAAAATGATCAGGTTGAATGAAAGTCATCAGTCCAGGAAAGATACAAAAATCTGCAAAGAAAAAAAAAAGTTATTTGATTTGTTTACACTATACTGTGTATCAAATTAGAATACCATAAGTAAAATATAAAAAAAGAGATTAAAAAAAATAATACCATGTCATTACATACCAACCTTTATTTTTTAACCTACTCAATTAACTTGCTTTGCTGCGTAAATGTAATAGCCAATATAATTTTTATGTATTCTATAAAAAATCAATCACTACTAATCAAGTCAGCTATTAGTGACTCAGCAGGTAGGCAAAAGTCCTCAGCTTCATCCTCATCGGGTGCCCAGTAGCATACAGTGTAGACAACAGACTTGTTCTTTTTAGCTAGTACTCTGTTAATAATCCTCCCATAATAGCGATGCACTTTCTGATCATCTAGCTCCCACTTGTCAGTCAGCTGGACAACAACCAGGTCTTTACCACCCGCAATTCTTGACAAAGAGGGTTTCAGCTTCTGTCAACACCACGAAATAGGGGATGGTTTACTGAGACATTCGATCCAGACAACACATCATAGATGGAATTTTCAGTATCTCTGCGTTCCATAGCTTCCAACTTTTTCTTCATTTGCTTCATTTGAGATTGAATTTCTGTGTCTATTTTGTGCTGTAACTGATTTGTGTCGATGACCCTGTCAAACTCCTCAATCAGTTTGAGATTCTCTGCCTGAACAATGTCATTCTTTACTGAGATCTTGACCCTTTCTCCTCTTAAAGCATCATTTATCTCCTTCAATACTCTGTCATTGTCAGCAAATCCATCTCCCATTTAACACTATCAATCTTGGTTCTCAATTCTCTTGCTGAAGATGTCCAGTTGTTCTTTGAAACCTAACCTGCAATTTAGCATATTTTATGTTTGAAATCATCAATAACTTACCCTTTCATGCTGTTTCTGCACCAGCCAATACCTGCTTTGACATCTGTTGTTTTTTTTCTTTTCTGTAAAATACTTCCTCTTCCAACACTGGATCTGTGTCTGCTTTCTCTGCAATGATTTAGTATCTTTTCTTAGTTTACTTATTGTAGAAAAATATGAATTATAAAGGAAGTTCTGTGCAACTGTATTTTATAGCTGTAAGTTGATGAATCAAGTCATGACTTAGTATACTAAAATAAACAATTAGTGTTAGAAAAAAGTCTGTTACATTAGTAGTCTATTACAAATTACTTACTTAATCCTCATCACTCCCTGTGGAGTATAGGGCAGCAACAAATCCCTGCCATTCCACTCTGTCTTGGGCGAGCCACTTTAGTTCATGCCAGGTCTTGCCAGCAGCTTGCACTTCTTCTTCCATCTATCTCCTCCATGTTCCCAGTGGTCTTCCTCTCTTTCGTTTTCCAGTGCCATGTTGGGGAGTCATCTTTTGCTCATGCGTAGGACATGGCCCAGCCATCTCCATCTCCTCATTCGAACTTCTGAAAATACATTTGGAAAATTTAGATATAGATATCTAGGCATAAGGTTTATTTTAAAATAAATAGACTACGCCTACTAGGTTTATTTCACACAAAAAAAAAACCATTTGTTTTTAAAATTGTGAGTCTAGTAAAAAAAAAAGTTACTATTGTTTAGAGTAGAGGTAAGTTAGAACTAGATTAGATCTAGATTTAATTAGGCTACTTAACACTAAATAGGTATAATTAAAAGTAGTCTATAATTAATAATTAGGTAAATAATTATGATCACTTAAACAAGTTAAAGTACTGTCACTTATCAGAAATGTCTAAATGTGATTCCGATGGCTGAATGATTTCTCACTCAGATTTCAATCAAAGAGCTGCAAGACCACAGACTGAAAAAAAAAGTAGATTAGAGATTCTAGAGTCTATATCTAGAAAATTAGATAGAATCTAGTTAATAGAGATCTAGAATCTAGATCTTTTAAAATAATCTAGATTAGGCTTATATATACTATACTATAGAATGTATTGTATAGAATCTACATCTAGTCTAGCTTGACGATCATCTGGATCTAATCTACTATCTAGATCTAAGAATCTAGACTAGACTAGATCTAGATCTATTTTACAAGATCTAGATACTAGATCTAGACTTGGATTTAGATATTCTAGAATCTAGATGATATAGAGTATCTAGATTTTATAGATTATAGATCTAGAATTGATCTGATCTACTAGATCTAGATTTAGATCTAGATTCTAGATATTCTAGGTCTAGTTTAGAGTTTAGACTCTAGAGTCTAGAATCTAGTCTAGATTCTAGATCTAGATCTAACTAAATCTACCTAATGACACTATTAAACCTAATTACTTTTTTTCGTAAAATAGTTTTTTTTTAATAATGCTATTTTTAAAAAACTTAATAAATATACAATATTTTAAAAATCTTTTTAAAATAATGGCGGCTACAAAGCTATCGATTCAGACTTTGCAGGGACATTTAAACGACTTGTTGGTGGGAAATTAGCCGTTTTCAGACTTAATTTAAAGAAAATTTGCAAAACTCTGTCGAACAACCAAACTTTTAACAAGAACAAGAATCTAATTCAAATAGAAAAAAAATGCTGAAATTACCTCTATTTTTGACTCCAATAATCCGAAGAAAGAAAAACTAAATTAATAAATATCGTCCGCCAAAATATTTTCCAATATGTCAAGTAAACCCGAAGGGAAGAGAGCGTCAACAAAATGCCGGTTGGAACAAGCCGTTAGTCTATTTTTAGACTCACGCGCGGCGGTGACGGAAGCCTGGGACAAAAAGCGAAAGGGGAAGTCAGCGCCATTTCCAAAATGGTTGCCTTTAGAAATTACGAAGCTGCAATACACGCTACTAATAGTTTAGTTAGTAATACAAAAGCCATAGATTACCCAAATTTTAACAGTAATCTATCATTTTAGGTATGTAAAATTGGCAGATACTAGACATCTAGATATTACTTAAGCAGCCTCTTTTTTTTTGGTAAAATTATAGTTAGAGATTCAGGGGAAACCACTCTAATTTACAGATGGCCCGCTTTTTATATAGCAAATCTTGCCCGCAAACACTACTGTTTAAAGTTAATTTCTGGCCTATAGTGATATATTTACTATTTAGCCATTGTTTTTGGTTTATTATTCAGTTATCTATAATATTTGCTACAAATATATCACAATATACTTCTAATAAAGCCTTAACAATGAGGCAACTTTTTCGCACATTACTAGCATCGGCCGATTTTACGCACATTAAACGATAGATTACCATCAGGCCTATAACAACTAAAATAATATTAATTAGACCTAAATCAAATGAATTAGTTATTGAATTTATTGAAATTAGTCTGGACATTTGATAATTTGTCTTAAGTCAATAACTCAAGGGTAAAAAGTAAAATGGCATATAGATTCCAAAATGAAACCCTTAGGTAACTTTGTTTCTTAAATAGTTTTTGAGAGACAAGAGGACATATTAAACTATTAAACGCTTGTAAAATAACAAGGTGAAGCACATGTTTTTAAAAATTCATATAAATTATCTGTACCATTATGGGCATTGGCCAAATACTATCTAAAGTATCTATTTATAATTTGTAATGTGAATCAATATTTTCATTTCTAGAGTTGTTCAGTAACATCAAAAATGCCTTGGAGATAAGATATATAATTGTGTAGTTTTTGGTATGGATATCTCTGCCATTCTGCTTTCAATCTAACACTCTACAGATAATCTAACACAACAAACAATCCCAAATTCTACTCACTCCTTAACATACACTCATTGTCCTTAGTAAAGCTGATAGTTGGTGCCACTTGGGATTTTACACCATTTTATTTTTGTTTAAAACAACATAAAAAGAAATGTAAATGTGTTACTTTTAATTTGATACTATTTGAAATTTGCAATATTTAGGCCTATCAATATATTAGTTACTACTGTCAGCAATATTATATACATCTATATATATAATTCTCTTCTGGGATCAGTTAGAAAACAAGCTGCAAGCGCGCCTTTGCAGTCCCCTCTCTTCCTCTCTATCACTACCACCCCACCCCCACATGATCTGGTGAGCGGTGTTCACTCTGTTTACATTTTACAATCACAGAGACGGGTTTGGTGACGGCTATTAGGGGCAGATAATTTAGTTTGAAACGATTTTAAACTTAGAGGAGGTAACTAAGAGGAGGCTGCTTTCACGTGGGGGGGGGGGGGGGGGGGGGTAGTGTTTTTAAGCAAATATTTTCAATGGCAGCATTGGTACTGTCGAATTCACAAATTATAAATTACTGAAAAGTAGAAAAAAAACAACTAAATAGCGGCGTATGATACGCAGCGGGTCGGCTCGTTGCTGTATATTTAACTAAAGTACTCAATGAAAGCTGATTGATTATGAATATTCAGTGATTTAGATTTAACCTGTTTTTTTCTCTCATAATCATTAGGTAAAATGGCTTCACTGACATGCTTAGCTTGCAATGTGGGGTTTGAGGATATTGCTCTAGGGCGGTTACACTACAAAACAGATTGGCATCGCTACAACCTGAAACGAAAGGTTGCAAATCTTGCTCCTGTAACATTGGAAAAATTTCAAGAACGCCAACAGACTCAAGAGAAACAAGTAACATTGGTTTTTTATATCGATGTTTATATATTATGCTTAATTTTTAGACTTGTGTAAACCAGCGGTACTTTGAAAAGTGGTACTATTATTCTAAGCAAAACATTTTTTAAAATAGTTTATAAGATAATTTAGCCCGATCAATTTTTCAATAAATTATTGATAGGTAATTCCATTTATGTGATAAAAAAAAATTCTTAAACTTTTATTAATAATATGTCATCACACAAAAGTGTGCACTGAAGTATCCAGAGTTAATTACTAGAGCAGCCAGTGCTAGTCTTGGATCTCTGTTTTACCATAGCTGGCACAGCTAATTGGGGAGAATTTCAGTAAATAAGTATTGAAGTGGATTTATGTAGTTGCTTAGAAACAAACTACTATATTTGTTGTATAATATAAATAGGCTCTTTAGTTTTTTTTTACTTAATTACAACAAACTTTTTTTTTCAAGGAGCAAGAAATTTCTAAAGTTCACGAAACATGTTTCTGCAAACCTTGCAACAAAGCCTTCAGCACTCCAAACGCATGTGAAAATCATTTGCAGTCAAAAAAACACAAGGAGGTGGTAGCCGGAGCAGTGAAACAGAATAATAAAAAAAAGCTGAAAACTTGTAAGAACAGTGTTGGTCATGATGTTTCCTCACCCACTGAAGATGTTGATGTTTCCCCACACACTGAAGATGTTGATGTTTCACCACACTCTGAAGTTGTTAATGTTTCCCCACACACTGAAGCTGTTGATGGTTCAGGAAAACGCAAGCTAAAAAAAAATAAGACAGATCCAATGATTGTTGATGATGGTTTGATTATTAATTTTTTTCTACTCTACTCTTTTGCCAATATAGCCATCCTAATAAAATTATAATTTTCTCTTGTTGAATTCAATGCCAGTAATTCTATTTCAAAAACAATTTCTTAAATATATTTTAAGTTTTTACATTATTAATAAGTGGTGCATTTTTAAGGACTAATTAATAAATATATATACAATTTTAATATCTCTTATACGACTTAATTAGCCTGACAAGTGTATTAGTAACATTGGTGTACCCACTCCACAGATGAATCCGATGCAGAATCGTGGGATAGCTGTGATGAAAATACTTTAGGCCTGGAAGAGTGTTTATTTTGTTCATATGTAAGCGCGTCTTTGGAAGAGAATGTCACACATATGACTAAGTTTCATGGATTTTTTATACCTGATGCAGAATTCATAAGCGACCTGGAGGGCCTTGTCACTTATTTAGGTAAGTAGTCTCATACTCAAAATTGATATTGCTTTTTGTAGATGGATCAAAGTTGTATGAACAAAAAATTATGTACCAATGTTTTTTATGGGATTTTAGAAGTAAGAAGAAACTTTTAACATTCTGATAGTAAAGCATTAAAGTACTCTTATCTAGTTACTGTTGGAGTACAGTTTCCAATTTGAGATGTACAGTTTCCAATTTGAGATGTTTCCATTTTATTCTCTAGGAGAAAAGGTGTCAGCCGGCCACTTGTGTCTGTGGTGTAATGAAAAAGGCAAGAAATTTTACTCAACTAAAGATGTACAGCGCCACATGATTGATAAAGGACATTGTAAAATGCTTCATGATGGGGATGTCATTTATGAATATGCTGACTTCTATGACTACACGTATGATACCAATTTTTACATTCTTTACATTCAATATTGTAAAAATATCTAACTAAACCAATTGTCTATGTTTACAAGTGTCTGACTAAACCAATTGTCTGTGTTTACAAGTATCAGACTAAACCAATTGTCTGTGTTTACAAGTGTCAGACTAAACCAGTTGTCTGTGTTTACAAGTGTCTGACTAAACCAATTGTCTGTGTTTACAAGTGTCTGACTGAACCAATTGTCTGTGTTTACAAGTGTCTGACTAAACCAATTGTCTGTGTTTATAATATAAGTGTCTGACTAAACCAATTGTCTGTGTTTACAAGTGTCTGACTGAACCAATTGTCTGTGTTTACAAACAAGTATCTGACTAAACTATATTGTTTTAATATCTACAAATTTCTGTCTAAAGCGTACACACACCCTTGGTTGACTCTATTTCAAATAAGAATAGGGAGCTGGATATTAATCTGGTTAGGGATAAGGACTAGATAAGGATATGTTAAGGGAGAGAAGAGTTAAGGATAGACAACCAATCACTGTTTAGAGGCTATAAGAATTCTATGACAATAAATTGTGATCTCAGCTTCTCCTAACCTGCACTGTGCTGGCTTTACAAAAACATAGGCATACACATCTCATACCTTGTCGCACTAGGATGTAGTATGGACACTGCTGTTCAATAAAGTTTGTATCAACCATGTCATAGGTCACACTAGGATGTAGTATGGACACTGCTGTTCAATAAAGTTTGTATCAACCATGTCTAGGTCAAGTTACCCTGATGCTGAGAATCCTGAAGTCAATCCAGATGAAGCTGTGGATTTAAACGAGCTTGAGAGTGATGGTTATTCTCTGACACTCCCATCAGGTTTTTATTTTCCTCACCACTTTATACAGATTAGATTTTTACAGAAGGTCAATATCATTGTATTTATTTAAAATAGTTTCATTCGCATTTCCTCAAGTAAAAATGTGAAACCTTTAAATCTTTGGTCTTGAACAACGCTTTTTCTCTGTATAAAATTTTTTTAAATTCAACAATTATTTTCTGCCTAGGTGCCACAATTGGACATAGGTCATTGATGCGCTATTACAAGCAGAACCTTGTTCCACACACTAATGAACCAACCAAGAAAATTCTACCCAAAATGTTGGCTCATTATAAAGCTTTAGGGTGGACTGGATCAACTGGTAATTTAATTTACTCTTTTTTTATTTTAGACAAACTAAATAGTACACTGAAATCAAGTATAACCATCATAGAGGCTCACAAATGCTAACCATTTATAGTCTAGGGCTCAAAAACTATATTACTTTCCCTACGGCTAGGCAAAAAGATACTGTGCTCTTCAGTCATAGTACTTTCTGTTTTAAATTTTTTTTTTTTAAATCGCATGTTAAAAATATAAATTCTATAAAATCGATCAAAGTTTATTATATATGAGGTAAAATAGTATATTAGCTTACTAATGATAAATAAAAATAACCTTATCTCAGAAAAGCATTAAACAACAACACTACTCCTAATATTATCTCTATACGATTTTTATTTTAAATTCTAAAAAAAATTTAATTGAGTCACTGGATTATGTAATTGTAATTTTGATAGAAAAAATATAATTCTTAACTTTGTAGAGATTAACCGCTAGTGATAAAACAAAAAATGTAAATAAAACTTGTTTCCTGCTTCCGCCGGTAACTTAAAATTCCCGTTAACAACTAGACTACCATTGCTTTTCGAAAATAAATGTACCAAACATAAGTCAGGCAAATACAGAAGCTTTGGACTTAAACACAAATAACTTCTCAGGCAACTGTGGGTGCATAGGACTGTAAAGGTTTTAAAAAATGTGAATTATTTATGTATTACTTTGATCTCAGCAAATCTTGCTATCTATTTTATTTTTTAACATTATTTGAATGTATCTATCATGTAGAAAATACATGTCCATGCTGTAAAGAAATCAATTTTGGTTACAAACCTAGGTTCACAAGTGGCGCTTAGAGTGAAGGACTTGCAATACATGAAGAGGATGCGCACCCAATGGCACATGCAGCTAGGATGCAAAGCCAACAAGCTGAGACTTCGCTTCAGAAATCCCAACCCACTTTAGTAACCTGATCCAACAATCCATCAAGAGGGAGCCTAGTATTTATTGTCAATTCATCCAACTATACATGCTGGGTACTTTCAAAAAATAAACAGGTTTATGGTCTTTCAGGCAGAAAGTTTTTTTTTTGTTTTCCAAGCACAAGGTTTTGGTAAATACTCTTAAGTTAAGTGAAGTACTAGGATTTGATGAAACTTAATTTTGTAATGTTACATAACAGACTAGGTAGCAGTAAAAACAAAAATATTAAATAAATGCATTTTTCCAGCAGAATATTGACTATAGATCTACCTACAGAAATAAAATTTGAAGACAGAACTGTTGTTTGAAATGTGATTTAAAAAAAAAAAAACATTTTTTGTTAGTTGAATTTATCATGTGTTTTCTGCAGTAGAATTTTTTATGTTTTTAAGAAAGTTATTCCCAAAATTAGCACACAGCAAAAATTTAACATAAATTAGTAAGCGTTTAATTGTCTATGCAGGGATTTGATAAGCCATCAACACTTTTACAAATATATCTGCAAAAAGGAATCTTTGTCTCATTTTAGTACATTAAATTAACATATAAATAGTGTTGCATTATTATGCTTCAACTTCAAGAGAATAATTTATTTTATTCGTTTTAGTTTAGTGCATAAATAAAAGCTGGTAGTTAAATGTTTTTTTCTTTATTATGGTAACTAGATATAGGAAGTTCGTTTTTTCTTCTTCAGTGTTGAGAGAAACTACTCAACTTATATCTTCAGCAGTCATCTGTTGGTTAAATCCCCTGATGGCATTGAAAACAAGATTGCAGGGGGGGGGGGGGGGCAGATAATTTTAGGTGGGAAGGAGTAGGAGTAAAAAACACAAAAGCTTGGCTTCTTTTGAGGACAATCCCTTAATAGGTTTTAAAAGTAATGTAACATTTTTTGACAAAAATAAATTGATTTATAAGAATCAAAGATGACAGTTTGATTTTCTCTGGTGATTTTAATTCCAAATTAGACAAAAACTCACACATTGTATTAATAGGAATGTGCACTCACATTAAACACCCAAATAAAAATGTGCGCACACAGATCACTCACCAATGAAGATTATGGCAATGTGCGTGTGTTTTGTGCATGCATGTTTGAGTTTGCACGTGTCTATGTGCATACATAGACAAATACTTTATTACAACGTCTGTATATTTTTATTTAATAATAAAAGCGGCATCATTTTCTAAAATATATAGAATCATAAATTCTTAAGATTTTCCGACTTCAGATGCTTTTTGACCAAAGGTGGTAAGCCCACATGTTGTTTCACCAAGGGTTGTCCACAGGTTTTTTAAACATTGGTGATTTGCATAACTAAGTCTACACCTGTACCTACACTTACATATATACCTACATTTACAGCTACACCAACGCCTACCAACGGACCGAATGACCTACTCACACACCTTTATGTTTCTATGCATTTTAGAAAGAACGGTAGCATTTTTAAAATTAAAATACAAAGAAATGAGAATGAAATATATAGATACGTTTATGTATACACACATATACAGACCATCTTAAACATGTAAGCATAAACACACACACACACACACTACGCCTCTGTCCCTGAGACACCCAGAACGGGTCGTAGGTAGCGCATAGAAAGTGTTCAGTGTGTGTGCTAAGTTGTCAAACACTTGTTGCCGTCAATGATTCAACACGCAGGAGTTGTCCAACACTTGTTGCCGTAGAGCAAGGCATTCAATACACAGGTATTGTACATCAGCATCCTGGTCAGCATTGTGTTAGCTTGCACAGTTTGGCCATTGCTGCAGTCACACCTTGCCAATTCGTTTGTTTGTCGAGTGGAAGGTTACTAAAAGTTATATTTAAAAGGAAGAACACGGTAATTAACACTATACTTAACTAATTGCCCGTACAAATGTCCATAAAGTAGGCCTACAACTTATGAGGCAAGTAAGTAACAAAGGTATAGATAATATGTTTAACACTAATGTGTTGATCTGTACACATGTAGGCCTATTGGTCATTGTATAACGTACTGGTTGCAGTATGTTTAATTCTAATATTTTGTTGTTGAGTTAAATACCCCATCCACACGTTAAAATGTTATTGTTAAAGTAACATCTTTTGCTAAAGTCTAATCCAGGATAGAGGCTGAACCTACATCCATGCAGATGCAGTGGTAAAGTTCCCCTATGGAGCAAGTGAAGTAGAGTTAATCTGTTTCTGTGACCTCGGCATATGAAGGGATATTGCGGTCAGCGGTGGCCGGAAAGAACCGCAACGGAAAAAAGCGCAACGGAAAAAAGCGCAAAACAAAAAGCGCAACGGAAAAAAGCGCACACGGAAAAAAGCGCAAAGAGAAAAAAGCGCACACAGAAAAAAGCGCAAAGAGAAAAAAGCGCAAACAGAAAAAAGCGCAAAGAGAAAAAAGCGCACACAGAAAAAAGCGCAAACAGAAAAAAGCGCAAACGGAAAAAAGCGCAAAGAGAAAAAAGCGCACACGGAAAAAAGCGCAAAGAGAAAAAAGCGCACACAGAAAAAAGCGCAAAGAGAAAAAAGCGCACACAGAAAAAAGCGCAAAGAGAAAAAAGCGCAAACGGAAAAAAGCGCAAAGAGAAAAAAGCGCACACGGAAAAAAGCGCAAACGGAAAAAAGCGCAAACGGAAAAAAGCGCAAAGAGAAAAAAGCGCAAACGGAAAAAAGCGCAAAGAGAAAAAAGCGCACACAGAAAAAAGCGCAAACAGAAAAAAGCGCAAACGGAAAAAAGCGCACACAGAAAAAAGCGCAAACGAAAAAAAACGCAAACTGAAAAAAGCGCAACGACAAAAAGCGCAACGGAAAAAAGCGCAAAAAATAAATAAACGCAAACAGAAAAAAGCACACACAGAAAACTGTGCACACCGAAAAATGCAAAAAGAGCCATTTTCGCACAAAGACCTATAAGGACTAGATGACACATTTATACATGATTGTTAGGGCTGCTGTGAGAGTGTTGTGTTTGACCTGACGCGATATACTACCACTTAAAGCATACCACTACCATGTGCATTTACATCACCACGATACAGGCGATAATCGCTTGACACAACGTCTATTTTTTTCTTCTTCACTATTTATTCAACGACTATTCTCGAATAAATAAACATAAAACTATCCTTGATATTGGCATTACACGGAGTATCTCGTACATGCTCCCTAGTCCCAAGCTGTGTGCGCTTTTTTCTCTTTGCGCTTTTTTCTGTGTGCGCTTTTTTCTCTTTGCGCTTTTTTCCGTGTGCGCTTTTTTCTCTTTGCGCTTTTTTCCGTTTGCGCTTTTTTCTGTTTGCGCTTTTTTCTGTGTGCGCTTTTTTCTATTTGCGCTTTTTTCTGTGTGCGCTTTTTTCTCTTTGCGCTTTTTTCCGTGTGCGCTTTTTTCCGTTGCGCTTTTTGTTTTGCGCTTTTTTCCGTTGCGCTTTTTTCCGTTGCGGTTCTTTCTGGGAACCGCGGTCAGCACCATGCCTTGCCGCCTTTACTTTAACTAACGGTCTATTGACTTGAACCCGGATTCAAACTTGAGACTTAATGGTTAACATTATAGCGCTCTACCGCTAGATGTCCCGTGAACGGAAAAGTTAACTTCTCAGTACACATTCTATCATTGTTGGACTGAAGCGCTTTACGTTATTTTCTTCAGTTCATGAAATTGTCTGTCTTCTTAAAAGCAATAGGTGTGTATAAAACAGTGTTTCTTCCAGACTTTTTTCTCGGGGGGGGGGGTGGGCTAAAATTTCCGGGGGCGGACGGCGGACACTTAAAAGTATATATTTATATATTTTCTATATAAATTCCATTTCATTCGGCGGGGCGGTATACTTTCTTCGGGGGGGGGGTGTGCCTGGAATGCTAGGATTACAAAGTGGTTTCTGCTTTATGTTTGTGTTTAATAGGCAAAATTTACTAAAACTACAAGTAGGCCTATTTATGAATGAGATAGAGTGATATGGTTAGAGCTATAGTACGTATTGACTAGATATGCGGACCCTGAAGGCACCCAAGAAACAATTTCACCATTCCCACTAATACAGGTGTACATGTGTAGAGAATCAATGTGTTATTAAATAACAACTAAATAAAATATTATTAAATAATTAATTAAAAACAACATCCATGTTTTGATTCTTTTTATTTAGACTTTGGGCGCGTTGTCAGCCTCCAAACTTCTATTTGATAGTTAATTCGGCCCTCGGGCCGAAAAATGTGGAGATCCCTGCTGTAGGCCTATTGAGCAAGGGCATAAAGACTATTTAAACATGACGCCATCGAACAGTGAAAAAACACAAAAACTGATTAACCGCTTTTCTTTTACGTTCGACTTCACTTTTTCAGAATATATACATATTTAAATATCTATCTATATAGCTATAGATTTAATATCTATAATAATATATGTATATATATAATATCTATATCTGTATATATATATATATATATATATATATATATATATATATATATATATATATATATATATATATATATATACCCCCCCCCCCCCCATTTTGCGTGAATTTGAGAACACATTATTCTAATTCAAAAGGAACAAAGAAACATTTCATGGTTTTTCTCGACGCCCCCCCCCCCCCCTGTCGGGATCGTCAATTTAAAACGTAAAAGACTTTTTAACTCTAATTAATTGTTAATTGAACTGGCAAAAAGCATTTTATTCTATATATTTTGCAATTGTTTGTCTTGGTGTTACCCCTCCCTATTGGTGTCACCCGGTGCGGTCCACACACCCCGCCTGGCGACGCCTCTGATACTCGTAGTGTCAGGTTTTGGCGGAGGTTAGGGTTCGAGTACATTTATTTATTTATTCAATTACGGTAACAATAGTAGGCACGGTAACAATAGCATTGAACGCGTCGTGTCGGCAAAATCATGAATCAGGACGTAGATCTAGATCTAGATCTATATAACTTATGTCTTATGTCTACCCGTTTATAAATTAACCTTCATAAGTTTGTCACGTTTTCTGTTAGGAAATAACCTTTGACATCATAAAGTGAACTCTTCCAGTTTACAATGTTAAAATTGCCACATTGGCACATATAAAATGTAAATGTAACATTTACCATCCTGTGAAATTATACATCTAGTAATTGGGTGAAATTTATCTTATAGGAGTTTACACATCATTTACTTTTCTTTATTCTTTTTTTGCTTATTATGGTGTGTGAATGAAATAGCAATATTTGATATTAAGTGTCCGTTTCACCGCCATAAGTAGACAGGGGTACAGACAATAGGAGGTTTCAGGCCTATATTATATTTATAATATATGAGGGGTGATGTTCCATTTAAATTTAACAGGCCAATATCGGATATATTTTTAAAGGATAAGTAGCGTGTGGGTTTTTTTATTGATCACGTGCATGATCCTATTAAAGCAGAAGTAGTTATTTAAAAAAAATACCTTTAGTAAAAAAAATGTCCTTGTTTTAATATTAGTCTGCAATACAATTTTTGGAGATGTGAGATTAGTAGTCATTTAGGTTGAGAAAAAAAACCACATCATATTTTTGTAACAACTGCCCGTGTTTACAATATGCTGTTACTTTTAGTTAAAAGGTAATATAGGCCTATTTAATTTTATTAAAGATTATTCAATTTCATAAGCTACATTGTTTATTGTTTTACCAAAGTAGTATCTTATTTTAAAATATTCTAAATTGTTACAACATTGAGTTCAAAATATGATAGTTTAATGATAATGTGCATATTGGCATATAGTATAGATCTGTGTGTGTGTTTAGTTGAAAAGTTTAATTTTAATTTTTACTACATATGCACACAATATTATCTGGCAAATTACAATGACGTATGATCTTCCCCATTCTTGCAACTAGGGGTGACCTCCATTATCAGTCCTCACGTTAGGCAGGCTTCCGACAGTCACCGACTTTTAATACCTAGATCTAGAAATCTTAATAGCACAGTAAGTTCATAAATTATAATTAATTTGCTAAATTGTAGACCATTCATACTTTTGGCCATTAATTCTTAAATAAATTCAGGAGATTCAAATTAAAAAATAAAGATTACCGCTAGAGTCTGGTTTCAGTTGTCTACCGCTTCGGCTTTGGCAGTTTAGTTTAAAAAATGATTACATCACTTGCAACTAGATCTAGAAAGTATCTGTTATTCTTGTCCTTCAAATCAATTTTTTAATAACTCAAAAGTGCCGCTTCGGTATCAAACCAGAAAAGCATCAATTTTACTCATTAGTTATCTGATCTGGTAATACTTGTGTTTATGAGATGTGTTAAGTGTTAAGTGTAAAATTGGTAAATAATCACCCGTCAATAATGCCATTTTATTAGACCTAGAGGAGTTTACACTTTTCGGACACACACCAAAAATTACGTAGGAGCGAACACTTCGTCGGTTTTTGGCTCATAGAAACTTTAATTAGCATGTCTCACGCGAAACCACGGCGCCTGCACGTAAACTGCTCATTTATGAACACTTCCGTGTCAAGTACTTCCGTTTCCTTTCTCAAGAATTATTTTTAGAAATTTTTTAACGTTGCATGGTACGCACATTTCTATTTTTACACCAGCCGGATGAAGTGACCTAGGGTTGGACTTAGGGGCAAAACTTGAACCAATCAATGCTTAGCTAAAAGGTTACACTATAAATAGCTTCTATATATGTATGGAACATCGTAAATGTCAAGGTTAATGGGTTTTTTTGTGCTTGAACAATAAAAAAGGGGTGTTCGCTAACTTATTTGGCCTTACATGGGACCGGACAGCAACACAAAAATATTACTAAATAAGAATTTAGAGCATAAAAGGGGCTGGTTATTGAAGGGAAAGGGTCAAAATAAGGTCAAGAAGGCAGTGGAATGCGAAAGAGGAGGGGGAATCATGTGACCTGGCTGGCTTAGCAGCGTACTGCGCGAGCCGCAATGGCTGAATGGGATGAACTTTGGGAGTGTGGGAAAAAGGTTTTATACTATTAAAATTACCTCACAAACAATCAATAACACAATATAAATGCATGTAATATATGTTTTTATTCATTAAATTGACTTTAAATTATTCTAAATGAATAAAAAGTGCTATGTCCGATGACGGGTAAAGGTGTCCGAACACATGTAAAACTGTATTACATGTGTTCGAACACACGTTAAGACCCCCCAGTCACTATAACAAGAATAGCTTAAGTTCTATGCGTATGAATACAAAATGACACACACATTATTAAAGTAGAATGGTTGCGGATAGATATGATACTTTTTTTGTTTTCTATGTTAAGCGGTTACTGAATGAGACCGCATGGAATTTTTACGTTGCGTTTTTTCGCTATGTGTGTCCGAAAAGTGTAAGCTCCTCTAGATTCTAGAGACTAGAGTCTATCATCTTTTTTTTTTTTTGGTGAAAAAGTGTGCTCTGCAAGAATGCAATTAATTTTGCTAGGTTTATGACTATATGTCGTACTTAAAAAATTAGAATGTTTAGGCCTACGTTTTCTTCATTGATGATGGTTTTTATTTTTTAAACTGAAAGTATAAGTAATAGTATGAATGGTAACTTGGTATAAATTTCCAATAGCAATGTGCCACACCCCCTCAAGAAAGCACATGTTTATTAAGCTGTTGATCTTGCTTTACAACAGTAGTTAAAATTAAATTTCAAATTTTTATTACTCTTATTTGGGTTATGTTAAGCACATTTTTACCACTAATTAAAACAACAAAAGGTCAAGTATTTTTTCCTTCAGTCAAGTTCAGTGGAGGGTGCCACAGGCTGACCTGACTTTGGAATTTTTTTCAGTCATAAATGACTTTGCACAGAAAGTTATGTTAAATTAGCTTAGTTTACTAGTGTGCCAGCTATTGATACTTATAAAAAAAATTGAAATTCTCATCCAAATGCCTACTATAAGACTATAAAGAATTATGATGCAAGAGATAGGCCTATAGATATATTCTAGATCTACAATTAAATGTTGATGATTGATTGGATACCCATGGTCAATATAAATCTCTTCCATAAAAAGGCGTGTTTGTTTGTAGTCTAGTTTATGGTTAGAAATTAGGGTTAGGTCTTGTGGTAGGGTTAGTAGGAACAGGGTTAGTTCTGACAAAACATGTGTAGCCTTACAATACATCCCCTTTTATAGCACACTGGTAGGCCTATAAGAAATCCACTATGTAATAAACTCAAAATAACCCAGTTAAAAATAGATCTATAGGTCTACTATAATAATTAAGATGCTGACCAAAAAACATAAACCATTGAGAAGCTACATTGCTTTCATACATTTAAAGGCACTAAAGCTCATTATCTACACAAATATCAAACTTTGTTGAAACAAGATAGTCTTAATGTTATGTTAATTATATTATCATAACATTTTTTTGGCTTTGTTTTTTTAAATTTCTGGTTCTAAATGGTTAGCTTAAAGTTTACAAAGTTTTATTATGTGTGTGCTTGGATTGCATTTTAATGATACACTGACCTACTAACAAGTCATTTAACTTTCAGCAACTAAAAAAATGGGAGATGTTGCCAAGGGAAAAGATATATTTGTCAAAAAATGTGCGCAGTGTCATACTGTAGAAGCTGGTGGTAAACACAAAACAGGGCCCAATCTACATGGTCTTTTTGGACGTCCTACTGGAAAGGCAGAGGGGTTTTCATACACAAATGCCAACAAAAGCAAAGGTATATAAAATTATATTATTTTATTCCTTACATTAACTTATTAGCTTTGTGAAACCCAACGTATTAAAGATAGAGTACTAATGACAGTATTTTCTTATGTTTTTTTGTGAGTGTTAAATAATTTTGGCATGCCACACATTAAAATTGTTGTTTGAAGGGCAAAGAAAGTGGACAAGAATTTGACTAATTTGTAATTATATAACCTTGCTTTCATGAAATAATGTGTATTACTTTCCAAGGAATTTAATAGCTATTAACTTTTTAAAAAAAAATGAAATAATGTGTTTAATGTTTTCACAGGTATTACCTGGTCTAGAGATACCCTTTTTGAATATCTTGAAAACCCAAAGAAATATATACCTGGCACAAAGATGGTTTTTGCAGGCCTAAAGAAAGCTGATGAACGTAATGACTTGATTGCTTATTTAGAACAGGCTACAAAATAATGTTCTTTGACACTAGTATTTTTTTACATAAAACTCAAGACCGGTTTGGTATGTTTGAATGTTGCATAGATGGAATTGTTTGTAACTTATTGATAGTAGATGTATTGTTTATATAGTTCAAGGCTCAAGGAACCCATAGTAATTGATAACAAACCTACTAGTATGTACCCGCAACATAAAAATCATCACTATGTACATCCACTTTTGTAATTATGATGAGGTACCATTATTGCTATATTGTTAATTAAAAATGAAATAAAAAAAAATGGTAGCAAGTAAATGTGTAGTGTTATTTAACCAGAAAGTTTATTTTAAATAAGCTCTGCCTCCTGTTGTGTTTTATGGTGCTACATTGCTTTTACTTTCTCCCCCATACAACATAAAGACTTTGTAGGTCATGCTCTGGCATGTATTAGATTGATTCAGTACAATTATACCTGTTTAACAAAATTGAACAGACAAAATCAAACTTAAGTCTAGTAACTGATCTGTATTTTTTATTTTAATGGTTCATAAGCACCGGAGAACTACTTCTAAAAATATTTTACAAATCAGGGTTGCTCATTTTAAGTGATGAGCCATGTTCAGCTGAGACTTGTATAGAAAGTTGGGGAGACTGTATGCAACCATATGTCTTGTTAATGTAAAGCTTATTAAATAATCTGAGGAATATAAATACACAACAAAGAGCCACAGTTTCACCAAGTAATAAATAACAAAACCATAGATTGCTTAAGTGAGTCATTAAATAACCAAGCATTATGGGATTAACCATAGTTCCAATAGAGGCTGATACAAGTATGCATGAAGAAACGCATCCAGTTACCTTTAACAATTCTGCCTCTGTCCATGAAAACCCAGATGGAAATACAGCAGACATACTCAAGCCCACCACAATAGTAAAAAATATGACAGCATTGATAGCATTAGGATCACTAACAGCAAATGTAGCACTTATGTAAAAACATGCAAATGATATTAACATCAGCATACAACAAATAAATAATAGATTAACAGCTATGATGAATTTAGATATAAATATAGATAAAAACCTTGACACAGCAAATGATGCCCAGTAAATAGATGTTACATGGGCCCCTTTTGATTTGGTCACATAACAATACTCTTTGACTAAAAACGTCATGAGGAATGAAGCAAAAGTATCTTCCACACAACAATAAAGGGCATAAAACAAGCACAAAACCAACAGTGTAAATAACAAGACTGGTAGTGGCAGCTTCCTCTGGACAGGTTTCTCCTCTATGACTGCTTTCTTCTTCTTTCTTCTGATGGAGTCTTTTACACTGAAGTAAAGAAATGGAAGAGAAGAAAGGATAACACAAGTACCAGTTATGATGAAAGCATAGAGAACATTGGTTGACTGGGGCTGAGAGCTGAGTGAATTGTTATTTTCCTTCACATTCCAAGATTCATGAGTACAATTTCTAGTGTCTTCTTCATCCTTTTCTGTGAGAAATGGCTCAGAATATAAAGGTGATATCACACCTCCAAATGCGAAGGCAAAATGAAGAAGCTGCATAAGAACTTGTCCATCCAGCCCCCACACCCGCATGTGTTCTGCATTAGTAGCTGTAGATAGATTTTTAAAAGCAAAAATTAAACTTACTGAAAATAGAGTTTAATTTAGTAAGTATAAGAATTAACTTTCAATTTTTGAGGGAACATGTGAAATTACTTTACTATGCTTTTCGTGCATAGGAATTTTGTCAGTATGTGCTGAATTATATTTTTAAGGGTTTAACATTACATTTACATAATATAAGAGATAGCCAACATAAAAATGTTTGGTACTTACTGGTATCCACAAAACCAGAGCAAACGCCAGAGCAAGTCCGCACAACAATCATAAGCGCATAAATACTACAAAAGGGGGTGGTTAGGCTACATACCCCTAGTAGCAGAAGACCAAGAAATAGCATTAACTTTCTATTCACCTGAAAACAAGATATACAGAAATATTTTTTAAGCACAAACAACCTGTACAATGTTAGTGATCAGAAATTTATGATGTTCCACATTTTTTAAAATTAGTTATCATTTTTTTTTTTTTTTACTCATTTGTAAATATAATATTTTCTTTTTCTACTTTGTTTTTTAAAAATGCAGATATGCACATTTCTTAGTAACTAAGCATGGAAGTAAATAATTTTTAAAATTATTTATATTATATGTAAAATACAAACTTAAATAGAGTTCTAGTTAAACCTACTTTATTGTATATAGCGCCACTAATAACAGAGCCAGTCAGATAGCCTACAGAACCACCAGTAAAAAAAGCTGAAGCTTTCTCCACATCTGTACCCGTGATGATTTGAAGGTCTAAAAATGTTGGTCCAATTTGTCCTACAACTAGTCCCTGTTCATTAATTTTATCAAAGAAATAAGAATTAGCTTTTTGTAATTATTCTTATATTTGACAGATTATCTATAATAATAGTTCCACTGTCTATCACTCTGTTTGGAACGCTTTTACTATAGAGAAAACACAAGAACAGTAAAAATGTTCATAATCATACAGAAAACGAAACGTGACATCACATGGAACATATAGTAGGAAATAATCTAAAGCGGGTTTATATTATAGAAGTAGGTTTACTTTAGTCTGTATGTTCTACAAATGCTACCACTGTTTCTTCTTTCATACATTTTCCTTCCGCGAGGGGGGTGGTTTAAATTTTCGGGGGGAGAGGAGGGGGGGGGGGGGGGGGTGGTAGTTTAAATTTTCTGGGGAGGGGTCGAACACTGGTAAAAGTATATTTTCTATATAAATTCTATTTTGTTGAAAAGGACGGTAGACATGTTTCGGGGGGAGAGTCTCAGCTGCCTGAAAGAAAACTAATGCTACTTTTGTCATGTTTGAGATTTAGTATATTTAGTTTCAATATGCAGTAACTACATGTAGATCATGCTTAAATCCAATTAAAACGCAGATTCTGGATAAAAATCTGTTTTCAATGACATTTTTAGTTTCCGGTTAAATTTGAAGTTGAGGTGGTAATTTTGGTTTTGGTTTTAATTTAGAGAAATAGACAACACTATCAACCTAGCCCCCCATGTATTTCTCCCTCAATGGGCCATTTATCTGGTTCCATAATATTACTTCATAAAACAAGAGAAGATAACTATTACAAAGCCTGTGGCTAGTGCTTAATATTGTCTGGTTAAACACCATCTCTAGTAAAACACAAAAGAATATGGTGAAGCCAGAGGCTACAGACACATGCAGCAGGGCAGGACACCTTACCCCAGGAAATCAATCAGATGGACACCACAAGGGAAGAGAGGTAGCCAATGTACACAGTAGAGAAGGACTTATATGAAACAGTGGACTAAGTATGGACGGACCAGTGGTTACATGCTGTAGTTGGTATAATCATAACAAGTGGATATTAAATTAATATTTAGCTTACACCTCAATGACCAAACTTACCAGTGAAAATAATGAAAGAGCAAGCCATGATGAATATATTGCTTTACTTTTATAATCAGATTTTCTTTTCTTCTTTTCAGAGTCTTTTGCCACTTGTTCTGTTCCATTTTGTAATAGAATGCCTAATTTCATGTTTCTCAAGACACTGACCACCTTCAATTTGTAACTGGTCCTCACTAATCTGTTCTGCCATTCTGCAAGAATTTATTGAAATTATAAAAAGATTTTTTTGGGGAAAGATCCAACTCTAAAATAATTTCAGTGACATCATTGAATTAGCCCTAAGAAAAACCCTACTTATAAAAACATTTTGTTCTTTGTGTTTTAATAATTTACTACCAAATGATAGGACCATAACTTTCAATGAGCATGAGGAGTATTAACAAAAAACCATCAGATCTAAACACATCATGTGAGTGCTACAGGCCTGATGAGAGTATTAACAAAAACCATCAGGTCTAAACACATCATATGAGTGCTACAGGCCTGATGAGAGTATTAACAAAAACCATCAGATCTAAACACATCATGTGAGTGCTACAGGCCTGATGAGAGTATTAACAAAAACCAACAGATCTAAACACATCATATGAGTGCTACAGGCCTGATGAGAGTATTAACAAAACCAACAGATCTAAACACATCATATGAGTGCTACAGGCCTGATGAGAGTATTAACAAAAACCATCAGATCTAAACACATCATATGAGTGCTACAGGCCTGATGAGAGTATTAACAAAAACCATCAGATCTAAACACATCATGTGAGGTGCTACAGGCCTGATGAGAGTATTAACAAAAACCATCAGATCTAAACACATCATATGAGTGCTACAGGCCTGATGAGAGTATTAACAAAAACCAACAGATCTAAACACATCATACCAGGACATGACAAGCTGGCTCTGATTTTTATAGCACACTATTTACTAAAATCATACAGCCTGGTAAACATGCAGATATGGCCTAAGGATTTACACAATCCTAATATTTTAGCACTTAGGACTGGAGCCTAGCCTAGCAGAGAATCCAAACTAAGATAAAACAGCATGGACAAGACTAAGAAGAGAATGGTGAGTCAGGTGCTGATTTTTAACAAATAATAAGATGATCAGATAATAACATTTGATGATATTACAAACCCTTGAAAAAACCAGTGGAGGTCCAGTGCCTAAAGACAAGTTGGCCCAGAGCCTAAATACATGTTGGCCCAGAGCCTAAAGACAAGTTGGCCCAGAGCCTAAATACAGTTGGCCCAGAGCCTAAAGACAAGTTGGCCCAGAGCCTAAAGACATGTTGGCTCAGTGTCTAAACACATGTCGGCCCAGAGCCTAAACACATGTTGGCCCAGTGCCTAAAGACAAGCCTCAGATGAGCGGCAAAATGTCAAAATTTAAATCTTAGAATTTTAAAAGTGAAATTTCAAACAAATAAGCTACACTTTACCACACTGAGTGAAAAAGCCAATATTTAAAATTGTAAGTCACCTCTAAGTCCTAGCTATACTGTCAAAGAGCTTATCAACCGGACCTAAGTTCTAGTCCCTAATTTATCAAAAGCAAATTTAGCTACATAAATTGG